GAGCACTAGTAGCAATCGCAGTGCGTTTTTTCTCTTTCGAAGTCTCTGAATGTGTTCAGCATTCGGAAAAGTCTTTCAGAAAAGGGTCAGCGAATCCAAAGGATGAGCGTTACTTGTTATTATCGTTTCAGAAAGAATTCATTGATCGATTCTAGACGAAACATGTGTAATCTTTGGTGCTGGTCCACTCGGTTTACTTTGTCTTCAAGCTGCAGTGATTGTCGGTGTTAGTCGCACTGCTATTGTAGATATTGCTGAGAAACGTCTGGAAAAAGTGCGTGAATTAGGTGCGACATTAGTTATTAATGGAAAAGGTGACGATATTTGCGAACAGATCAAACATTTGACTGATGGTCTGCTACTTGCAGTATGTGCACAAATGGTACCCCTGAATACAATGGATATAGTTGTGCGTGAAATAAGATTTCAAGGAATTCTTGGTTATCCAAATATGTTTCCTCAAACAATTCAATTAGATGGAATCGTTAGCGAAGGATTTGAAGTTTTATGGGATCATCCTCCCGAGGCAAAAATTCCAGTCGATATGGACATTCTTATTGATTGATATATTTGTAGACTTTCGACAGGTGAAAAAGGCAAGGCTTAACTGTAAAAATATACGTTTTTATATTGTGAAGATAGAAGAATGAACAAAGACATTTCATTAGCTTTTGTTCGTTGTGTCAGATAGTATTCTGTATTGGAAGTTTATTCTATCTCAACACAATCGTTTTATCAAATATAGTTATGAAATTCTAATTGCTGTGTACAATATTCACATCTGTCGGTTAAGTTTATATATGATATCCATGGGTTGGGTTTTGTGATTATTATCCAAGTTGCACCAAATTATCTTGTTTTTTATTTTCCAAGTGGAAAATATTCCGAAAATTTAAGTTATTATTCAACAGCAAGAACTTTGCTCATTCCATTAGCCTTAGAAATCTTTGTCGTGAGAAGTGTTCACCAAAAGTGAGTCGAGCTCGTGCTGCTCCGGTAAATCTTCTATTGATATAACATACTATTGTACAACTTGGACATTCCAAAGCTCGACAGCTGATTCGTATTCTCCTTGCAGATGTTCTACTTTATTTTCTAATAAATTTTCCGCTTATAGTTACTACTCTATACCTACAAATTGTTCGATACAATGTGAAAACTAATGAACAAACACAGATTAACACTTTTTTCCGTATACGCGTGCCATTGCTGCATGTACACCATTGTGTGTAGAATTTTCCTCTATAAATAGACGTTTTCATGTTGTCTTTTTCATAATTATACAATCGAATAACCCAAAACAGAATATATTTTTATAGAGAATGTGGACGAAGAGTGAAGTTTAGCGTTCTACCTTTGAATAGTTTCTCTCATATGAAAATACTTTTATTTTAATGATTATTATACGAAAAACTAAACAAGATTAAGCTTCATTGTTTACTACATATTGAATGCGTCTGGAGAATTTGATGCTCGTTGTTTACAACAGAAACGTCTCATAATAATCAGAGATATGATAACAACATGTAGAACGTAATTGACGATCAAAAGAACGAAAGCAGCTCTGAACAGTTCAGATTGACAATATGTATTTGTATCATTTGGATTATCTCCTTGAACCCCATCCGCTTTTGCACCAAATACCCAAACAGAACCAGTAATTAACCAAGCAAAACTAAATAAAGACATAATTAACACAGAAACCAGGATAATGACGAGAATGGCAACTCCAATTGGACTGGATTGTTGTGTATCACGAGGAAAGTTGCATCGGACATTGATTATTCCACAAATACCAACCATCATCAATGTGAGATGAATTGCAGCATGAACAATCATATAAATGGGTATCATTGGTTGTATTGGACATTGATCGAAATATTGAATGGCAAATTTGAGATGAATGGCAGCCACAATGATTCCAATAGGAATGACAATGAAATGAAGTTTTCGTGAATAGAAACTAATGACTTTTTGAAGCCAAATGGGTCGTCCCAAGGATGATAACTTTCCATTCGATGATTCAATCATTGTTCTAATTTGAAAATGATTAAATTTAACCTACAATGGTCTGTAAAAAATAATCATATTCATGCGCCGTTTATAAACCATATTTTTCTTTCGAATGAATCATCAACGCGAACGTACTTTTCTCCTTGTTTGCACATATAACGTGGAAACGATGTTTTGACGACAAATTTCCTCCCGTTTTTTTTTCTTCGTATGTCCTTTTTGACGTCAACTGTAGCTCGAGAGAGCAAGCGACAAACGAACTAAAGTATTTTCTCGTACAAACAAGTTCGTAGAGCGTAAAACTCTTTTTCTTCTTCCTTAGTTTATCAATGTGTTTGCCCAAATATTTACTTACAATACCTGATAAAGATCAACATCATTTTTCATCGAAATCAATTCTCTGTGCGTTTTGCCGAGCTAGAATGGGTGCTGAGTGAATTGTACTCGAATGTGATATATATTTTTATTAATAGACATAATCAACTTCAAGGAATATAATTGTGCCAAGTTGCCGTGTCCAGATCTTCTCGTTGACAAACTCAAATATTCTAGACTTTTAGGTCAACATAAAGTGAAGAACTTTTGTAGTTCTTCCATCCACATTAACTTGCCCGATCTTCCACTTTTTCTACTTAACAGTTTCTATGACATTGATTAATTCTATATAACGGGTGGTCCATAAAGAATGGCGGTCTCCGTATTTCTTAATTATCTCCACCAATTTTCATTCGTTGAAACTAATTTTTCTTTTGAAATATGGACTGTTCGGAGGCCAACGGTTCTTGTCAATGAATGAAGGGAAATGCTTGGCACACCATTCTTGTGATTTTGCACCGTCCTGTTGAAAGGTCCAGTTACTTCCCAACATGTCATTCCCAAACTTGACAGCGACCGGAAGCACCTCTTTTATGTACCGATCATGATCGACTATCCCATTCTCGAAAATCACTAGAGGTCATACATCTTTAGAACAAACTCCGAGCCACATCATAACCTTTTTCGGGAATTTACGTCGTTGCCGAAAACCACCTTTGATATCGGCTATTGAACGATTCACCACCTATATTCGGTCGTTTTGAGAGTTATAAACTCCATCAATGTCGAACATCTTCTCATCAGTGAGCAATGGTTACTTTTGTATTTTGTAAGCCAGGAGTTTCAGATCATTTTTCAGTATTCGCTGAACACTTGTTCGAGAAATGCCCAAATCACGAGCTATCTTTCGAGAGGATGCTGGTTTTCGTCGCTTCAATCGGTTTTTGACCCTTCGAATGGATGCTTTGGTTCGAATTGCTCTTGGACGACCATATGATCTTGATAGATTGATACAACCTGTGTCACGAATGCTTTGACGCCACCGTTCGATTGTTCGAAGACCAATGGCACCGTTAAGATCTCGAAAAATCTTTCTCGGCCCATCACCATTTTCATACTTTGAAAGTACGAGCTTTTGAAAATCTTTATATTTCATTATCTAAAACAAAATCAGTTCAATCAAATTTACGAGAAAAGGCCCAGATTTGTAGAGAATCAAACGGCAATTTTTTTTTAAAATTCAGACCGAACGAATGAAAATTAAGCGAGATATTTAGAAAATACGGATGGGCCACCCATTAGTAAGTGTTCCTAAGGAAATACATTTAAAGATTGTATTTGCGAACTTACAAACTACGAGAAGTAGTCGATAATATTGAGATTAAAGCTGCATAGCTTAACCTCTCTATAACACTGTTAACACATTTTATCGTGTTAAATATGGCGACAGAAATATATTCAGTAGAGTTTTTTGGACTATCAAAGAAAGTCGCAACCTTGCTTTCTACATGAGTATATTGAAAGCAGTTTGAAGTTGAAAATACAAATCTCTCTCGTGCTTATAAAAATTGAATCGAGAGCTCTTATAATGTCCCTTGCAAGGCGCATTAGATTAATCGCTGTAGAACAGAGGAATTAAGTTGTATCCATAAAAGCTACTGTTTTTCTGAACAAAGGCAGTTAAGATGAATGTATAATGGGCGAAAATCATGCTAAAACAGCTTTGAGTACGAGTCTATTTTAAGCAAAATTGCGTGCTCGGATATTTCTATATCTTGGCATATGCAATACAGATTTTGAGTGATGTCATGACAAATAGTTGTCAACTATAACATAAGACAACTTTGCACGTTTTCAATAATTACAACAGGTCATTGTGGTGTGGCGAAAAAGCAGTTTTAGAGGTATCTTTAGCACAGTAATCAAAGTAATTGTTAATTTTTCGCTCAATCGATAATTAGAGATACATCAAAATATCATAAGAGTGAAGTCACGATGGTTCTCAACCATATAACAGGCTCACCCAAGCGAAAAACTATTAGGACCATAGCTCATCCAGTTCGTCTGGGTGGAAAACATTTTTAGTACTACCCAGAAATTTTCATCATGATGTGCGCATATTCATACTCCAGAAGCTTCATTTATAACTTATGAGTATTTTGTTTTCAGCATAAAATTCGCCCATTCCCCCGGCAAATGGAGCGTTGATTGATTTGGATTGTTTTTGGTGAAATTCATTGCGCACTCACAATTTTCAATTCGAGAGGAATCGTTTAACAAAATATTTTAAGTACCCGACGAACAAAATATTCAAAAGCACGCATAATACATTTTGTTTCGAAGTTCGCTGTTTTCGATTCGAGTTTTTCTAACGTTTATTCGTAAATGCAATTCCCAAAGTCAGGTTTTCTTTCGAGGGAAAAAGAATATTGATGTATATAGATGATTTAAAGCAATACACAAAAGGAAGTAATTAATTTTCTCTCTAATGAAGAGTTGTGTAATAACACAAAAATTGTCGGTACATAAGAGGTTATAAACAGTTTGACAAAAGAAATAATAATTCTTTTTCTTTATCCTTTTAAAAGAATAAAGCTTCGGACCACTTCAAACATTTTTCTTAAATAAAAGCAATCGAGGATAGAATTCATTAAACAAAATCAGGTATTGCAGTCTCCTACGAATTGCTTCGTTTTCTGTGTATTATCAAAAGACAAAACAACAATGCAATTTTTCACCAACGCACGTATTTCTATATTTATCTTGTTTGCTTTTTCTTTGTGTGAACGATTGTATATAAAGACATCGAATTCATCAGTTCACTTGCCATTTTATTTTTTTGATTTTCTTCAGTAACAATTGATAATGAAGATATTTTTTCTAATCAATTTGTTCCTCCAAACTTCTATTGTTCATCCAACTCATTTCTTTGGCGGAACAATCACATCGTAAGTTCCTTTTATTTGAAATTTCTTCTCTATTTCCAATGAATGCATTTCAGTCGTCCTTACAATAATTCCCAAACAACTGGTCCAGTTTCCATCATAGTACGTGAACGTTTATCATGGCTTCGTAGTCGTTATTTTCCTTTTTGTTCTCCTGCCACAATCTCTGCTCAAAATCCAATGATTGGTGATTACATGGTTGTAGGTTGTTTGTCAGGTACTTGTGGATCTCATTGGACAGGTAGCTCCATGAATACATACACATGGTGTACTGATTATAGTATTCCTCTTGATACTGCTTCGGGAGAATATTATAATACATTTTCAATTCCAATTAATGTTGCCTTTAGTATTGGTTATGCTTCATGTTGTTGGCTTGATCAATTAGGTGCTGGATGGGCAAGTTTAGGATGGAGTGTTGTTGGTCGAATAAATACATTTGTTCGACCCGATGGATATTTGAATACCAGTCCTGTTGCTGTTACACTTCCCATAATCTATAAAGAAACAAATATTCAACATGTTCATGTTGTTCAAATGTCTGATTTCGATGGAACAGATATATTAATATGTCGATGGTCTAAATCATCGACTAATATCAACTCATATGATGAATGTGATGGAATATGCAATGGTCTTGCTGGTGGTGTTAATGCCAATCTTATTGGTGCCAATTGCACACTGACATTTACTCTGACAACAGCTAATTGGTATTATGGGGTTGCATTACAAATTGAAGATTTTTTCAATAATGCAGCGTTTTTAGCAAATACCCCAATGACCTCGGTTCCTTTACAATTTCTATTCTACGGCTACGGAAAACCTGGTGGTTGTGCAACTCCGCCAGAAATTATTGGCGACCGACCAAATCGAGGTAAATTCAGTTTTGAAACCTGCCAATAATTCTTCTTTTTTTTAAAGCTTGCATCGGTGTCATGCCTAACGATAATATCACTGAACGTGTCGTTGTCCAGGTAAACTGTCCTGGAAAGAGTATCGTTGATTTTATTTCAACCGTCCCTCGTGGTATGGACAAAAGTAGTATTTTAAACATAAGCACTGGTCAGTACTCAACATTTACAATGATAAAGTTCATTGTTCTCACGTCTTTTGTTTTCTAGGTGTTTATGGGCTCATCCTTACTTGGATTCCTCGAGCTGACCAGTATGGTCCTCAAGGTGTTTGTATGGCAGCAATCGATAATACAAAACTTCAATCAAATCAATGGTGTATCACATTCTTGGTTGGCTTTAAATCGCCTGATGTCATTCGGCCAACATTAGTTCAAGGTTCGGCTTCACCTGTGGGAACTGTTTTTCAAAATCAAACGACTTTCTCCATCCAAAGTTTGTTCTTTTCTCTCAAAGAAATCATATACGATTTTCAGTTCATCTGTTCAGCTTCAAAGTTTGTCAATCGTCCAACACGAAATGGAACTTTTATTTATTTTCGAAATGCTTCTGGTGGTGGCTCACTTGTTCAAAAGTACGATTGCGGATGGGAACCAGAAGTCACATACACAGGATATACCATTGTTATTCGATTTCCAGTTGCTCCATGGACTCCTGGACATTTCTTCTATGTTACTATGGATAGTGGTACGACTCAATCTCATTTCTCATTGTTTTCACCATTCTTTGTTTGACTTTGATTTAGGTGTTGCAAGTGGAACAGAATTTTGTGGTAAGTTATGAATACTACCTGAAAATGAAGTGATTATTAAATAAGAGTTCATGTGTAGGTCCGGAATCTGCGCCCATGTATGATCCAACGTTTTGGGTATTTAATATTTGGAACCCAGCAGTTTCATCGACAACAACAACGACGACGACACCATTTACAACTGTAACGGTTACAACAAAACCAACATCAACAACAAGTATCAATACTCTTGTAAGTTTCGACCACCTACGTACAAATATTCTTCTATCTATTTATCGATAGCTAACAACAACTGGAATTGTTATAACAACAACAACTCCTATGACAACGAATGCGACCACTGCAAGTACTTCACCGCCAACTACAGCTGGTAATGATGAAATTTCTCATTGAGAATAATAAATTGTTTTTCTGTCTCCTTTTAGCTCCTACAACAGGAGGTCCAACAACAACTGGTGTAACAACTGAATCGACCGTTGCTGTTATCTATCCAAAGGATCTAGTAAATTTTAATTTTAATGCAACTATGTTTATCTACGCATTTCGTATATTTAATAGGAAGACATTTGTAAAGCGTCGATAGCAACCATGACTGCTGTAACCATGGTAATCATGTTTCCAATTCAAACCGTAGCGATGTACGCTGCTTTCATAAAAATCTCTTCGATGTTTCAACCGTCGAAGATCAGAGCGAAAGCGAGACATAATCTACGAATGAAGAGAATTCTGCGATAAGATTTCTCTGCAGACTGCACAATTAACTCAAACATACGTTAATTCTCTTATTTTTCTACTTCTTACAAAGCGCGTGGATCTTTGTGTGGTTTTATTTTTACAAATAAAAACTTCTTGGAAGGATGAGAGCATTGTCTCACCTTTAACTAACATCCTAATATCTTCATCCTCAAGATGCATTACATTAGCACGGATCGTTACGCAAACAAAAGATTTGTTCGAACTTCAACCGGCAAATTATACTTCCATAGAACGTTATCGACGTTTGACTGGGTAGTAACACTAGGAGGAGTTTTTCTCTTGGTAGATGATGCTAAACCAAAATGCAATCGTACTTCGAGTCTCTCGGCATGGGACGAATCATCAGCTATCTACCTCTATACCATGTTGACGCAGGTGTTGTCGGAAATAGTTTCGCGATTTGAAAGAGTATAAATTCATGCTCAACAGATCTTCGTGTCATTCAAATTTACTTAGATGGCAGAGGTATCTTGTTTTTCTTCTCTTTTAGTGACCTTACTGATGGGATATATCTCTCAATGTTATTACAGATAGTAATTCCACGAAGGATAATTCATTCTGGACACACAATTCTACAAAACGATGTTAATAAGTATAAGCGGATGTATTCTTGAATGCCGATTCTGTATTCTATAGAGTACGAATACTTGACCTTTCGTGCTTTTAGCATGTCTACTGGTATTTACACTTGAAAAGACGTACACTTCAGTCTATAATCCTACATCTATCATCACCAACGATCTTAACGATGATAATCAAATAGAAATTTTGGTCAGCAACTTGGATAACAACACCGTCAATCTATTTCTTGAATGTGGACGATTTTAATTTTGCAGATCCATATTCACCCATGGTTGCCGATTTCGACAATGATGGCCGACTAGATTTTCTCGTTTCTCATCGAGGTAATAATACAATAAATGTATACATTGGTTCTGGTAAGGACGATTTTTCTGTCCAAACAATATTTAGGAATGATACTGATCCAACCTTTTCAAGTACGATTGCTGTTGGAGATTTCAATCGTGATAGTACACTTGATCTTGCAATCTGTAATGGCTTTCATGAAACTATTAATATTCTTTTATATAAATGTCAGTAGTTATGCATATAAAAAAGCTCCATTTGTATACTTTTCCACTTTTGAACTTCTGACCTATTTGGTCAGATGATGATGACATGAAGAGTCCCACATGCCGGTGCTGTTTTGTGCAAACGGCATTGAAAAAATATAGTTCACATCAATCGAAAAGGATTTAAGATTTTGCATGTAAATTTATCTTCCTTAACTTCATTTACGCCCTCGCTTGCAGCTGATCCAACAGTCATCGGAAGAACAAACATTGCTTTTTCTTCTATATTTACTCCATTCTTTTGCTTGTCGTACCGAAGTACTTTTGCGAACTTTTGCTCCCGGTGAATATTTTCTCTTCCTGTCAGTTGTCCTCGACAGGAACGTACTTTCGTCGCACTTTTTTGCATAGCGTCAGTGGTTGTTTTTATTATTACTACGTTTCCCGATGAATAACTTCATGAAAACGTACTTTCCGCCCACGATTCCTTCTTGTCGGCAGATTTCCTATATAAACTCTTCGATTCCAAAACTTTGTTATGCATTGTCAAACAATCTCATTTAAAACACATTCTTCTTCCTTCAAACCAATCAGCCAAAACACTAAACATGTCCAAAGGCGTCGAAGCACTCAAAGGAACATGGGATCAAGTCAGTTGCTTGTCACTCATCTCGTTCATCTTTCATTGTTTTTCCTCATAAATTAGATCAACGATGAAAACATGGATGAATTTCTCAAGGAACTTGGCGTTGGAATGACAAAGCGAATGGCAGTGAAAAGCATGAAACCTCGCCTTGTTATCAGTGAGAATGGTGGTAAATGGGCGATTCGATCTGAAAGCTCATTGAAAACCAAAACAGTCGAATTTATACCAGGTGTTGAATTCGATGAAACAACAAGTGATGGTCGTGAAGTCAAAGTTCGTCTATCGATTTCGTTTACTTTTGTTCGTTGATTTGATGTTTGTAGACGATTGTTCGTGTCAAAGGTAACACATTGGAACATACGATGCACGGCAAAGATGGAAAACAATGTGTGGCAGTTCGTTATGTCAACGATCAAGGTCAACAACAGATTGTGAGTGAATTTTGATTTGTTCTTCTGCTCTACAATATTTTTTATCATAGGATATGAAATGTGGCTCGGTAGAAGCTCATCGTTGGTTCAAACGTGTTGAATAATCAGCGACACTGTCGACATGACTTTATTTTTATCATTTTTCGAATTTGGTTTTCTTCTCAAATAAATATTTTAAATTCCTTCCGAAGTGTTTTTTTTGCCAAGACGCTAAAGATTGGTGGAATCAGAACCAATGTGTGTACATGAAGAAGATACCTTTACACTCAACACTCGTTTTGACATCGCACAATATGAAAATGAAAGAATATTTCAATGCGAAGCTGATATCAAAGTTGTACAGATGTAATGAGAGTTCAGAAGATAATCTACGATGAGTTCGATGTCGCCAAGTCATAAGAGAACTTTGAAATGATTTCATATATGTATCTGAAGGTATGACAAAGATAATAACGATGAGTATTGATGGTGTAAATAGAAAGAAATACAAAGTCAGGTATAACCACAAGTTTTTCGATGTTCTGACATATCCAGGTAATGAGGAAATGATCAGCGAAAGCATGAATAAGATTAATAAAGCGATGAGACTAAGAATTAACAGTTTATGTTCATCAAATTGTTGACGGACATGTTCTTGATAAATTCGATTGTTGTGCGTGACTGATCGTTGCCGAGCAGATCCAAAAATAATGAATAACGCTGAAAATAAATTACCAATGAACGGAATAAGCAGATGAAAATACAAAATAATTGTATTATAAGTTTGAATAGACGAAGAAGAATAACGAACAACACACCAGACATGTCGACTGGTGTTTCCTTCTTTTCCTTTTCGATTATTTCTATCGCAACACTTTCAGTATTATTCGCATAAACTCTGTTGGTTTCAGTTTCATATTCAAACATTTCACGATGTACGGTTCGCGAAGGAGACTTGCCATGATACACAATGGTAAAATGAAACTAATCCATCGAGCAAAACGTTTGCTCTTGTTTGTGTTAAATTGAACACCTTTGAAAACTTGCAGTACTCATTCAATCGCAAAGCACGCATTCAACCAACTATCACAATAGAGAAAAAGTTTCAAAATTGGTCCAATAATGATAGATCCACCACGAAGAGTCGAATAACTTGTTGAACATCTTTATTTTTAAATGTTAAATAAAGACAACAGACTATTGATGAATCCTCTAACAAACATGAGAATACTTAGAGCAGAACTGATATGAATCGAAGTCGATTGATTTGACAATGTTACATTTGGGTTGAATTTCACTACGTAAAAAGTCATCAAGTGGCAAACCGATTGTTGTGAAATAAAACTGACATCGATTTCCAACTACACAACTTCGTTGTTTCGAATCTACGAAATGTATGTATATGAAAAGGAGAATTTTCTTAAAAATACATACTAAAACGGCGGATAGTAGCTTTACTTTCACCCGAGATCAATACATAAAAGTTTCCTTCCGTATTTCGACGAAAAGTTGTTATCACTTAAACATATTTTATATTTGCTTGAAGTTTATAATTGTGACAATACCTTGGACTACTGACAGCGAACGTCGACGAATAATTCGATTGAATATTTATCAGGGTATCTATTTTTTTTAATTAAAAAGAAAATTTCTTAGATGATTTTTGTGAAAAGATCTTTTCCGGCAAATAGTCGAGATCTTGTATTGTTACTTAAAAAGACGTGTGACAATGACATTTTTCACACTCGGTATGTGAACTGTGATGCTACCAGTATCTATTGGATAGAATTGTCGTCACAACTAACAAATATATCGAATTGTTATGAAGCGGGAGTTCGAACTTGAATTGATTATTCGATTCTCCGTCATCGTCTTTGATAAGAAGATTTTCATTTGTATTCAGACGATCAAAACTATTTCTATAGAAAAAAGCGAATATGAGTCGATTGCAACTTTTCTGTACAATGCATTTTTGAGCTTGTTCCGGCTGTCATTTCTCGGCTTGATGTCCGATTTCTGAAATTCTTTCACCAGTAGATTCTCCAATGTCGGTTGCAACACTGCTGAAAATTTCATTGCTATGGAGCGACATTTTACTGAGCTATAACCATTGGAAGCACAATAAACCAACGTTTTCGAGACTAGTGAACCGAAAGATATGATATTTTATGATCGAGAAAATGAGTATAAAGGAAATTTAAATATCACATCTTGTCGAGCGTCGCATTCTGCATCTAACTAGGTAATTGAAGGGGCTCTATGGATTTCCTTTCGTGCTCCTCTCAATTGAAAACACTCTGTTAAACACTTTCGTCGTTTCGTGTAGACAGACACTGTCGAGCAGTTTTCTCAGGAAAGACAAAAAGTTAAAAAATTTGGAAATGACTGTAAGAGAGAGGAAAGTACGCGCCACAAGCAGGATAAAAAAATTCAGATAGACTTGGGTGTTTCAAATAGAAAATCTTGTATCTTTTTGTAAAAAGTATGTTATCAGACACTTTGTAGACGGATATTTTGCAGTTTATTCTCATCATAACTCGAGAACAAAAGATGCAATCGTCTTCATACTTTTAGAGTAGATAGAGCATGAAAATTTGTACACGCAGTATCATTTTCAGCTTCCTACGAACTGCCCTTCCCGTTCATCTTTGCATTACACTATAAAATGTAGACGGATATTTTTTTCCTTTGCTTCTAGAGCGGATTTGATTGAAAAAGGAACGTATGATACTTTCTGACGCTTATTTACTGACTTTAGATGAGATTGCTACAAGGACATAATTGAGGAAGAGTCGGGAAAAGTCAATTCGCATAGTTGTGCGCTGCAAATCACCTACTTCATCATTTTTCCGTGTCTTTACACGTTATTTTACCGTATTCTTAAAACAGATGACAAACGTAGAGTGAAGTAGAAGGATGTCATGCAACGGGTACAAAGAGATTGAACGAACGATCTATCATAACACTGGTCTATATCTGAACCTTTAAGGATTTCCACGATAAACAGAAGGGTTGATCAATCCTAAGTTTATCGACCGTTTATTTCAGCTTCCAGAGGAGTGGTAGTTGGGAAATTGATACTCTGTACTGAGAATTCCTTCAAAACCACTTTCAATTTTTTCCCCCCAATTGTACAGAAAAGTTGCAATTGACTCATATACCGATATGCGAACCACTTCGTATTGAATAAAATCGATTTTCAGGTACTTGGATTCAAAACGATTCGTAGTAATAACTCCTTCTACTACAATTTTAGGGATATAATTGACTATGATTTGTCAATGTTGACACATCTATACGGAAGAAAATCAAATCAATTATCTTCTTTGAAGCTTACCACAAGAATTTAGTGAATATCGAAATTTCTGTATTCGATTGTTATTCGAATCACGTGTTTTTCTTGGACGACCAGTTCTTGATTTATCACCGATGATACTGTAGATAGTTTGGCGTGGAATATTTTCAATCAAAAAGTTATTTACAGTAGTATTTTTAATGAATTTAGGTATATTTGTATAGCGTTGTACAATACGCTGTGCGAGTTGTTCTCTGTTCGAACGAACCATTTTTGAACAAATAATGAAATATGTCCAATGGACAATTATCGATAGAAGGCTATCTATATAACCTCTAAGATGAACTAGCGAAGAGGAAAAGATGTCAGAAGTACATATATAAAAATCAAATGAACATGTTTGTACGAAGACTTTCGTGCCATAGGTTACAACTCCATATCTGAGCATGCAAGATACATGATGTTTGCTTCTTTTTTTGCGCAACATGTCATGATCTATCAAATAACGCTTCAACAAGCTCGGTATCTCTATTCGTTCAAGAGAAAATGTCAAAATACTAACTATACCTTAATTCCCTAAAAAATGGCATCATCATTGTGAACGAATTAAAGTTGGATTCGGCTAAAAATTTTTCATAAGAGTTTTGAGCCGAAATATTTTAGTTTTTTTCATGCCATCAGATGTTCTTTCAAACAAGCTGGTTAAGAGTGGAAAAAAATTTTTGGTATTCTCATGGACCCTCTCTTAAAAACAGCACACTACTTTTACAGACAGATGCCAGTTTTTTTTCTTCACCACAATCATCACGTTATTAATGGTTTTAATTCCGTAAGTGATTCCAAAAAAATAACATATACAAACATTTCTGCAGTGACTATCTTTGACTGCTATAACTATAGTAACTCATGAGCGCATCTGCTACTGTAAAGAAAACTAAGCGCACAAAAATGCATACTTTTTTCTGTAGTAATTAAATATTAAATTGGAAAAAAAGTTTTGCAAGAAAAGGGGAGAGCAAAACACAGTAGAAAAACTATTCAAACAATCTTTTGAAAAGTTTCCACAAAGTCAAACAGCAAAATATGTTTTGGATTGTTTTTATTTACTCAGTAATTTCTATGGGTGAATCAATCTTTATTGGTAAAATAAACAATAGCATAATGATTGGTACTGCGAATAAATCATTACTGAATGTCACCAAAAACGAATGTATATGTGAAATGATGAAAACAAATGCATTATTATCTGGATTAAACTATTTTTCGACGAATGGAACTTGTCAATTATTTTATTCGAATAACAATTCCGCTATTATTGAATTTAATTCGAATTCGAATTTTATGTTTTTAAACTTCTCAGCAATATCAATAACAAATAGTACGTATTTATCAATAGAATAGTGTTTTTGAACGGTACTTGTTTATTTTGAAAATGATGCAAAATAAATGAGTAATGTGTCCTACTCTAAAATAAAGTGCATAGATGAGTTTTTGCTTGAAAGTAGCCGATGAGAACGGTGGTCTAAGCAGCTTCTTGTTGAACATATCATCTTCTTCATCCTAAACAGATTGAATCACAGTCGAAATTACATGATTTAAAATGTTATTGCCTTTTTCTCTTAAGTCTCTAAGATGATAAATGTATGATGTTTCTGTATGTTGACAGGGTAGTCGATAATTGAACTCGAAATAGTGTAAATTCTAGTGTGGGTGTAAGGATTCAGTGTATTATACTGAATATAAAAATGGTTTTGTTAGATTAGAAATCTAATTCCGTACTAAATAAAGTGATACTCAAGGAGAATTGTTTGAAGAAAAAAACCGCCACACCCACAAATATACATTTAGATCCTGGTATCGGATAACTCACTTGAGCATAGTTTATTAGATAGACAGTTCAATCTGGAACTCAGCACAGCCATTCTTGATTCAACATAAATCCTTAGCTGAGTTCGAACAAGAAACACTCAGATATGACACTCACTTCATTTACACCGAGTATTTTCGTTGATTTGAGTTCCAAAATAATTCTATGTAATTAATATTTAATTTCTGTGTATAATTATGACTTTTTTGTTTTATGAAGACAGGACAGCATACCACATGAGTACTTAAACCGTCAGTGAAAAAGAGAGTCAAATAGCTAAATAAACATCGCTGAAAAAACAGTGAACACCCTAAGTACATATCTTTACTTTACTGATAAATCTGATATATTCTGTGTTATTGACTTTACTTCACTTTATTTTTTCAAAGTAAAATAAAGTTAAAGTGCCATGCCTACAGTATATGTATGTGGGTGAGGCGTTTGTCTAAATGGGACTGTATCAATGGATAGACAGGTGTATGTCGGCATTTAGTGAGCATAACTCCGAAAGTCGTCTAAAGTCGTATACATTATGCATCAACAAACTCACGGAAATCTTTGCCTGAAACTGATGTGTCTGAAAATATCTGTGCGCGAAAATGATGTATCCAGTTCTATTCGGTTAGAGCACATTCGGCTTCGGCTGAAATTGTTTTTAAAAATATCCGCATCATGACTATTTCTGATATCGAACTCGAAGGAAAACTGTAACCGATCTTGATTCCTCTTTTTAATATGATTTGTGTAATATAGAACCAATCGTGTTTTTGACGCCAACAATCACTACCTCATCAACCTCATCATCATCAACCTCATCATCATCAACCTCATCATCTTCAACCTCATCATCAACCTCATCATCATCAACCTCATCTTCAACCTCATCATCTTCAACCTCATCATCAATTACAACAACCATCAGTTAGTGATTTGCTAAACGTTTTCCAGTGTCTTTTTCAGTAATGCAAAGAATAGTCTGTTCAAAACACTGAATATAACAAATCGCTCCCGAGCCAGCTAATATGCCACCCATAGATTGAGTATTCTATAAATAATCTTCTATTCATGTGTCTTTTTTGTACGAATCTAAGCAGCTATTCTAACTGTTTGGGTGGACTACGTTTTGTCTCACGCTTTACAAATATCCTATCGGCTTCCTTACGAGAGGTGAGGGTGAGGATCGACTGAAGACACCCACATCCTATAATTCTCCTGTCACTCAATTAAATAATCCGAGATATTTGACAGAATTTTCAATTTCGCCTTGTGATATTAGTTTAAAATAATGTTAGTTATTAATCTGTTGTATTTTTAGACAATCCATGGATATGTTCAAATATGACTGTTTTACATGAGAAAGATATGTTTGGCAATGATATAGTTCATCAGCAACCAAAGAATTACAATGAATGCTGTAATTGGTGCTTGTCGATGTCTGGATGTCTTGGATTTGTATGGGGCTGGCCAAATAATTCAAACTCCTTTCAACAGTCTCATTGTTGGCTGAAAAGGACGCTTATTACTCCAACCAACCTTGCGCAAGTTACCACTGCTCACTTCTAATTATAATAGCAATTGTTATTACATATTCTTTCCTTATGTGAAAGATTATAAACTAATAAAGAAAGTTTTTGAATCGTTCATCAGTATAAAGAATCCCTGTAAATAATTATTTTTATCAATGTATAATCTAACCATCAGGACCGACACAGGTTTGTGAATGAGTGAGCGAACGAAATGCACATAATACTTCGATCTTAAAGTTACTCTTGAATAGGTTATACATGTAAATGAGTATGTTATTTTTATCCATTATCCTCACGCCCTCAACCAGTTAGATCCTGGAAAAAGTGTATTTACGTACTTAGAGCATACCAAAAGTAGTGACAGTGACACTTTTATATTATAAAGTGATCTTCTAAGAATTTCTTTCCTATACTATCTGATCGAGAAAAATAAGCTAATTATATCTTTCTATGTTATTTGATTATACTTCAAATAACGTCATGATAATAAAATATCTATAAAACTTATACTGGTCGGCTATGTGCTGGTTGGCTAGGCGACAGCTTTTCCTAGTGTGATTTCTTGAGGACTACATTCAGTTTTCTGACTATTGAAAAAGCAGCTCTTTTTATTAAAATATCAAAAACGAAACTGTAGTTTTTAAAGTTCCATTGTTGAAAATAGCAGTTCTCTATCTTGTTTCGATTAGAAGTTCTTCAAAAAAAAATCCCCTCGTATTTTTCCAAAATTGATATCAGTAAAGCCAGCACACAGCCGACTAGAATAAGTTTTAGAGATACTTTATTGTCCTGATGTTATGTAAAGTATAATCAAATAACATAGAAAAATATAGCTTATTTTTCTCGATCAGGCTGTATAGAAAAGAAATTCTTAGAAGACCACTATGTAGGAGAAAAGTGTCAGTGTCACTACCATTACGTTTGGTACGCCCTAGATATGTATATGTTGACTTGAGACTGTCATGAAGCCATACCATAACTTTCGTCTTCTCTTCACTGATGGCATAGATTGTATTCTTTGTATCGATGGAGATGTCTGTAGGATATGCTCCAAGGATTGAGTCATCGGCAAGAGTGATTTCAGTTCGACTCTAAGTTGCTTTTGAAGATAAGTTTGGTTGATTGAATGAGAGAGCTGGAGGGTGAATGGTCTTCAACATTCGAACGATTTACCTTTTGTTTTATTATTTCAAATCAAAAGAACAGAAACGATGGAAATATATGAAATCTGCATTTATGATGAAATTATTTTTGTAATCGATTAACTTGCTTTCACTACGCAGAAAAAGAAAATTCTTTCTTTTTAATTTTCTCATCTGTATCTTTGTTTTAGCTCAAAGTCAATTTATATCACGTTCTTTTCATTTCTTCGTACCCAACGAATGAAAGTATTGTAATCAGCACGTATGAAAGCAGTTCTCCTTTTATTCTGTTTGGAAATATAAAAATACTCTATTGCCTCAATCACAAAGAAAATCATATGAAAAAATATCTGATTGTGTAGGTTGTAGTCAAAAAGATTCCATCAACATTCACTGCCAACCCATAGTAAAATGGTTCTAAAAAGAAAAACAAAAGAAGACATAGAGTAAAGTGGGGCAACTGGATATGTTTTTTTGAAAACTTTTTTTCTTTTCCCTGTAACTTTTTCAAATCTGGATATTTTTTTCTGAAACTTAACAGATAGATAGAGTGGATGCCGCTCTATTTATCTATGCAAAAATCACCTGATTTTGACTTACAGGTACGTATTTTCACCTGCCTTTCCAATTGCCCCGCGATTGGTTTTCCCATAGCCCCACATGNTTTAATAAACTTTTTCCAAAATCTACTTTTAAAATATTCATCGATAAAATTTATATTTTTGAAATTGAAACATATTTTTCATCACTTTACATGTTTAAGAAGTGACAGACGCACAATTTTCATCTCGAGAGAAAATATCTTTAAAAGATTTATTTTGATTTTTGAAAAACAAAAACAAAAGACACTTGAAAAACGAATGATTATCGTCATACTATTGCACTCAACGAACAAAATATGAAAAACGATGTTTGTATTTGAATCAATTGATAAACAGAAAGAGATGTTTCTATTCTAATTATCATATAAAAGAACATATGTTTTATATACAATAAGATTTACAAATGATTTGAATTAACTGAACGTGAGAGAAAAGGATTTTCTATATTTCATTGATTAGCGTCTCTACTTTTCGGAAAGAAAAGCAATGCTCTATTTCTTGAAAGATTTCTTTTAAAAAATCAAAGCAATTAAAAACAACATACGTCAAACGAAAAAACTTTATCGAAATTCTCTACAAATAACGAATCCTTAAATTTGGTAAAAAGAAATATTTACCTTTCAAAACGTTGTAAATTCTATATAAAGATGCAAAAGTGATCAGTTGGTATTACATTTGATCTTTTCATTCTTATCGATAACAAAATTAACAATGAGAATATTCTTTCTCATCAATTTATTTGTTCAAGTTTCATTTGTTCATCCAACGCATTTCTTTGGTGGAACAATTACATAGTTCGTATTTATTCGGTGTGATTTCTTTTACATTGTAAATGAATATATTTTAGTCGTCCTTACAATAATTCCCAAGTCATTGGTCCAGTTTCCATCATAGTGCGTGAACGTTTATCATGGCTTCGTAGTCGTTATTTTCCTTATTGTTCTCCTGCCACAATCTCTGCTCAAAGTCCAATGATTGGTGATTACATGGTTGTAAGTTGTTTGACAGGTTCTTGTGGATCTCATTGGACATATGGTGTTATGAATACATATACATGGTGTACTGATTATAGTATTCCTCTTGATACTGCTTCCGGAGAATATTATAATACATTTTCAATTCCAATTAATGTTGCCTTTAGTATTGGTTATGCTTCGTGTTGTTGGCTTGATCAATTAGGTGTGGGATGGGCGGGTTTAGGATGGAGTGTTGTTGGTCGAATAAATACATTTGTTCGACCCGATGGATATTTGAATACCAGTCCTGTTGCTGTTACACTTCCAATAATTTATAAACAAACAGCAATTTCACATGTTCATATTGTTCAAATGTCTGATTTTGATGGCACAGATATTTTGAAATGTCGATGGTCAACATCATCAAGTAATGTGAATTCTTGTGATGAATGTGATGGAATATGTAATGGTCTTCCTGGTGGTGTCACTGCCAATCTTATTGGAACTAATTGTACAATGACATTTACTCTTGCAACATCTAATTGGTACTATGGAGTCGCTTTACAAATTGAAGATTTTTTTAATAATGCAGCATTTTTAGCAAATACTCCTATGAGTTCTGTTCCTTTACAATTTCTTTTCTACGGTTATGGAAATTCGGGTGGATGTTCATTTGCACCTGAAATCATTGGTGATCGACCAAATCGAGGTAAAATTCTCTTTCGAAATCTTTGTCTCTGATCATTCATTTTTCAAGCTTGTATCGGTGTCATGCCCAATGATAATGTCACGGAACGTGTCGTTGTACAAGTGAATTGTCCTGGAAAGAGTATTGTTGATTTTATTTCAACTGTTCCTCGTGGTATAACCAAAAGTAGTATTTTAAATCCAAGTACTGGTCAGTATTCAGTATTTTCAAGTAATTCGTCTTTACATATCTGGAATATTTCAGGTGTTTACATAGTTGTTCTTTCCTGGTTTCCTCGACTTGATCAATTTGGTCCTCAAGGTGTTTGTATGGCAGCAATTGATAATACAAATATTCAATCAAATCAATGGTGTATCACATTCTTAGTTGGTTTTAGATCACCTGATGTTATTCGACCACAATTAGTTCAAGGTTCAGCCTCACCTGTTGGAACTGTTTTTCAAAATCAAACGACTTTCTCCATTCAAAGTTTGTCTTTTTTTTTATCACAATTAGAAAGGTTTCTGAATGAATGTTTTCAGCTTCGAAATTTGTCAATCGTCCAACGCGAAACGCAACTTTCATTTATTTTCGAAATGCTTCTGGCGGTGGTTCACTTGTCCAACAATACGATTGTGGGTGGGAACCAGAAGTCACATACACAGGATATACCATTGTTATTCGATTTCCAGTTGCTCCATGGACTCCTGGACATTTCTTCTATGTTACTATGGATAGTGGTACGACTCAATCTCATTTCTCATTGTTTTCACCATTCTTTGTTTGACTTTGATTTAGGTGNATTTCGTTTACTTTTGTTCGTTGATTTGATGTTTGTAGACGATTGTTCGTGTCAAAGGTAACACATTGGAACATACGATGCACGGCAAAGATGGAAAACAATGTGTGGCAGTTCGTTATGTCAACGATCAAGGTCAACAACAGATTGTGAGTGAATTTTGATTTGTTCTTATGCTTTACAATACTTTTCATCACAGGATATGAAATGTGGTTCGGTAGAAGCTCATCGTTGGTTCAAACGTGTTGAATAATCAGCGACATTGTCGACATGACTTTATTTTTATCATTTTTCCAAATTGATTCTTTTCTTAAAAGTTCATTTCATCCAAAACAATGATTTTTACCTCCAATAAATATTCTGGATTTTCTTGTGAAATCGTCTGATATTACTTTCGCAAAAATGTGCAGCTCAAGTGAAAATATTGAGAAACTAGTTCAGTTTTCACTGACAGAGTTGATTGCTAATAGAATACATCCCATGTTATGATATAATTTGAGCTTTTATCGAGAAATGGCATTTTTCTGTATGAGACAAATGCTTTAACATAGAAAAATTTCACGAAAGAACGACTCAAAGCAATTCTGAACTTTTTGGCTGATGTTTCATCAACAAGTAAAGCTCACAAGGACAAGGATCCGTAGATCTTTCTTGGTAAATTATGATCCATTTACTGTATAAAAAATTCTTTACTAAATTCTTATTCTTCTGCAATATCAATTTTTGGTTGCAAAATACGTTCACCTCACAATCTGAAATAAATGAGATGATGCACAAGACTTCCAAACGTCAGACATAATCTTTATCATTTATGAATGTTTCAAATTTACTTTGCTTTGTGCATGAGGACTATATCAGATTGTTCCTATAAGTTCAATGGTCTTTAGTATTGATTATAGTGTATCATAAGCATGCGATATTTGCATATTTCTTGTTTACGGAGGAAACAAATTCTTTTCCTTTGAGTACAATACACATTGGCTTAACACGTGTAACTGAAGTTGCACACCATGCTTATATTGCATTCGTATTTTCTGTGTTGACGTAGGTAAGCAATAGCTCATCGTATAAATAGTAGTTATTTTTCTCGTTCTTTTTCTTACTTTTCTCCTTCATTTTTTCTTTCTTGCATTGATTATGTTTACCGTCGTCGTTCGATTTTTGCAACATACAGTTGTGTATGAGAAATTATACTAGTAGCAAATAGAACACATTTTCTTGAAAGAAAAACAACATGACTACTCAAACAAAAGTTATGATTGTCACTGCGGATGACAATTTTATTCGTCTAATATCATCGAACAAACAATTGAACACAACCGTCGTCAATTTAGATAAAAATAATCAGAGTACATCCACGAATAATCCCAATACATCTATCATTGATTTAGTTATTCTCGCACAACTATTCAATAAAGTTAGCATTTCTTCTTTTTTAATAAAAAAAAACAGACTAAAAGAAATCTTGTAGAATTCAACTTGTGATCATACCAATAAACGAACTCTTGACTCATCACAAGGTAACCAAGCTAAAGTAGTTAAAACGAGTGAGAAGAATAATGATCTGGTGTGCAGTGTGTGTGGTGATCATGCAGTTGGATTCAACTATGGTGCTATGACATGCGCATCTTGTAAAGTGTTCTTTCGTCGCAATGCGCTTCAACCACCAGTTAGATTTTACACATTTTCTTATTTTCATCTAAAATCGATTTCTTTTTCCAGGAAAAGATTCGCTGCTTCAACGGACAAAATGCATGTTTATTCTCTCATGGTACTCATCGGAGATGTCAAAAATGTCGACTAAGACAATGTTTTGCTGTGGGAATGAAAAAATATTATTTCGTTACCAGCGAAGAAAAAGAACGACGACGAAAGCAACTTGAAGAAAATCTCAATCAGACACGCGCGTGCAAATCTTCAATTTTGCACATGCCGGATGATATTGATCTTGTAAGTTGAATATCTATGACAATATAAATTCCTATTTCTTAATTCTCTTTCAGTTTCTATCGGACATCAACAATCCTCGAACTATATCACCTCCCACTCTTCACATCAATGATTGGCAAGTTATTCAAACCATTGAAGAATCTTATGCTCTTGCCTTTCAATCACCTCTACCATCGTGTCCTGGCCACTTTCCTGATCGTGAATCTATACTGACGTTTTACAGACAAACAAAAGACCAGATGATTCTTCAGTTCATTAATTTTCTTCGTCAAATTAAAGAATTTGAAGCTTTAAATGAAGATGATCGATTTATTCTAATCAAATACAATTTAAATATTATTGGCGCTCTTAATAAATTCATATATTTCGACAATCAAGCATACACTTTATGTGATTTCCCATCTATGGATCAAAATGTATATAAATACATTCAAACACTATATAACGTAGATCAAAGCTTACAAGATGATTTTATAAACTTAGTTGGCTCATTCTTAGCTGTTATCGAACAAGACCTCCTATTATTGCGTCTTTTGATTGTCACTTTACTATTCTCCAAGGGTTTGTCATTGAGTGACGATGAGCCTCCACTTCGTGATCCATTAGCTGCATATCGAGCTGATTCTTATTATACACAATTGATTTGGAACTATCTATTGGACAAACAAGGCGAACAAAAGGCAATCAAACAATTTACATACCTAATCAGTATTATCTTTAAGCTTCAGATCATGATAAAGAAATGGCGAGATCATGTGCGTGAAGAATTGACCGCGCGTAACAAAGTAGATTTACTTACACCACTTATGCAAGCTGTGTTACACATCGCTTAATTCTACTGTTTTTATCACAATCGTTAAGAATACTGAATGAGGAAAAGTTTGCCCCCTTAAGACATTTTTGTTGATAGTATATTGATATATATATACCGGAATAAATGAGAATTTCAATAATTGGTTTGCAAATGATATGGCTTAACTCATAGCATTCTAATTGAATTTTTCTCTTGCGTAATAAGTTCCAATTTTATTTTCGATCGAATCACTGATTCGTCTGTGTCATCTACATATTTAAAATCATAGGCAGATCGAATTCTTTCTGTTATTCAGAGCGTATTTATCAACATGAAATAGAATAGTAGACGCCAGTTAAATTCGTTTCCAGACGTCTGACGACGCTCCTTGTTCATATTACCAATCAAAAAGAAAACAAAGCGCGCCCGTATGAGTTTCCAATATTATGGCTTTTTGATGCACATGCATCGTCAATACTTTTGTGACTCATCAAAGGTTATGAAAGAACGCGTTCGTACGTGAACTTGCCGTTGACGTGTATATCGAACAGGAAAAAGGTGCTACTGCAAGACGGAACGAATCGTGAACAGTCTATCAAGAATTTTTTCTTATTATTTTCAGCATTACTCCTAGAATTATACGGCGGTAGTGAGAAAAAAAACTTCTACTCATATATCATAATATTACCTTCTTGAAATTAGTTTATGTTTTCTGATTTTTATACTGTTAAATAGTCCACAAAAAAAATGACACTAAACTGTTCTCAATATAAACATTCGTTTTAAGAAACTTTCTATCTTTCAAAGTATAATTGAAGAGCAGACCAATATCTTGACCAAATTGCAATTTTTATCGAAAACTTCTGACCATTTTTTTCTTTTCAATCTCAAATCTTATCTATTCTGACTTCGCACCGGAACGATTTGATTGATTTCGAACTTTTTTTTATCGAGATCAGAATCACGAAAAGTAAACTAATTCCAACATCGTAAAGTTAAGACATAGGAATGTAATTTTCTGTGACTACATCTGTAGCTTTATAGCCACACGACGCGCTATGGAATAAAAAGACATTTTTACGATTTCGATTAAGGTTATAGCGCTCGCTTTTATTATGTCAAATCTACAAGTGTCAGCGATGAAAAATTTACTAGGATGAGCTTGGTGAGCCGCTGAAACTTGCCGTGCGAATATGTTAGGGCATTCAGATTTATCTTTTCTGGAAACAAATGAAGTTAAACATAAGAAAAAAAGAATCATATAATTACCGTTTGGTAAAATCGAAGTGTTTCAATCGATTTACGGTAACAAAACTTCCTTATCAATAAGAATACGTTCGCTATTGCCCTTGACATGACTGATCTTGATTTTGGGCAAATGAAAATCAAGCTGAAAGTGTCTTTTCCCATCGCGCAGTATTGAAATCGAACATCGTATAATTAAATTCGACAAAACAGATATTCTTAATTCAGTCTCAGCGTTCTATTTTCGCGTTTGGATCACTTTTCCCCATTCTATTATTATTGAACTCATAGCTAAACTAAATCACAAATCTAAACATATCCATCGAGAAAGAAAGAAAACACTCATGATATACGGGTACCGAACAAAAATTTCTTTTTGTACGGTTGAATTTATTAAAGAGAAGGAGCTTAAAATGATAAAGCTGATAAGAAAGACATAGATTTCAGTTCAATAAAGAAGCAAACTTTGCTTCTATTACGTTCGATTAATAAATTTCAGCACTTGCCAAACCCTTACCACCAGCAACCAGTGCGCTTCCATTCATTAATACTACTCCCGCATGATAAGTTCGTGCAACACTCATGTTAGCTGCCACTGTCCAATTTTTTGTTAATGGATCATATAATTCACTACTTGCCAAATCATTACTATTCAATCCACCAGCAACCAATACTTTTCCATTAGATAATTTTAATCCTATATGAACCTGTCGTGCGATATTCATATTTCCTGTCAATGTCCATTTATTAGTTAATGGATCATATAATTCAGCAGTAACGCCAGCAACATTATTGTCTCCGCCAGTAACTAATACTTTTCCATCTGATAATTTAGTTGCTGTAAAATAAGACCGTATGGCACTCATGTTCCCTGTCAATGTCCATTTATTAGTTGATGGATCATATAACTCCGCACTTTTAGAACTAGAACCACCTATCGCTAAAACTTTTCCATTTGATAAAACCACTGCTTGATGTCGAATTCGTCCATAAGTCATATTTGCTGCTATTGTCCAACTACCTGATGTTGGATCATATAACTCAGTACTAGTGAGACCACTAATACTATTTCCTCCACCCGTAACTAATACTTTTCCATTAGACAATACCGATGCAGTATGTCCATAACGTTGATCATTCATATTTCCAGTCAACGCCCAGTTAGCAGATCCCAGATCATATAATTCAGCACTATTCAAATAAGCATTACTAAATCCGCCAGTAACTAATACTTTTCCATTCAATAATAAGGATGCTGTGAATGCCCCTCGTGCTGTATTCATACTTTGTATTGCTGTCCAAATGTTTGTTACTGAATCGTATGACTCAGCGCTTTTCAGATAAACACTACCGTTTTGCCCACCAATAACTAATACTTTTCCATTTGATAACAACGATACTGCATGTTCATATCGTGGACCACTCATACTTCCTACCAATTTCCATACTAAATACAATAAAATAATGAGAAAAACGAATAGGTTGATTCATGAAGAAACTCAACGTTAGTCTGATATTTGAGGATGATAGTGAAAAAGAAATGAACACATTCATCCTCAAGATTTATCAAAAATTCAAAATTCTTAGCATTGAAGCATATCACGTACCTCGAGATGCGTCTGTTGTTGGTTTTTGTTGACAGCAACAATAATAATTACCATAAGGAGAACTGCAGGAAGTGATATTACCATAAGTGCCAATAGAAAAAAGACCATTATCAGAAGTAGGATCGCCATACGAAGTAACACAAGTACCACTGGGCTTAGTGGTATTGACACGACAAGTATAACCACTAGTGTAGCTTCCAGCAATAGCAGCAGTACCAATAGGAGTAAAATCGACATTACCAAAATAGAAGTCAGTACCAGCAAGAGTACTACTATTACCAAAAGTACCAGCACAAAACGTAGCACAATTAATTTCAGTACCAACAATTTCACCAGTGGTATAACCGCCATTATAGTAAGTAGGAACAGTAAATTTGCAATTGTTACAATCAGCTGGAGCTTGAGTAGTAGTAGTAGTTGTTGTTGGTACTACTACTGCTGGCTTTTCTTGACAACAACAATAATAATAAGGACTACTAGCAGTCTTGCAGTTAACGAGGGCACCACCATATACACTAATAGTAAATTCACCATCTTGAGAATTTGGATCACCATAAGAAGTAACACAAGTACCACTGGGCTTAGCGGTACTGACACGGCATGTATAACCACTAGCATGACTATATTTAATAGCAGCGGCGGCAGAACGAGTAAAATCAACATTACCAAAAGCGAAGTCAGTACCAACAAGGCTACTACTATTACCAAAAGTACCAGCACAAAAAGTAGCACAATTAATGTTAGTACCAACAATATCACCAAACATACCACTCCCGTTATAGTAAGTGATAACAGCAGTGTAGCAATCGTTACAACCAAGCACAGCCGCTGCTGCAGTAGTTGTTGCTCTTGTTGATGCTAGTGTTGGAAAAAATTTGAAAAATAAGAAATAGAAAGAAGTTCATCGCTTCAAACTTAAATCCCACTACTGCTTTCGGACGTTTGAAGACAGATGATATTGATAGAAGCTGTTCAAAAGTATTTTGATTAGATATTAATGACAATGCAAAGTAATGAAGTTTATAGGACTCAACACTCTCTGATTGGCCTGTCGTCTCTAGGGAAAATCAACGCTACTACAGAAAGATCATTTGAGCCAAATTTCACACTCACATCTACACTTTCAAGAAAAATTTCATCTACTCAGGATAAATCTTCTTACTCAATAGAATGAAACAATTCGAGAAACGAGGTCAAAAAATTTTCAAACAAGTGTGAGCATTGCTTACTGATTTCACGTCATTTTCGGGAAATTTTTAAGATTTGTTCAAGGCTTATTAGAATTCTTACGAAACCGTTAAAAGGTATCTAACACACCAGACAGTCCTTGAAGCAAATATGAATACATCAGATCTCATTTTCATTCCTGCTCTCGCTCATACGATCAATTGAATTCTCGCTAGTTCTAAATCTAAATTCATTCAGTAGGATATCTGAAACATATACTTTACTTGCTGCAGGTAGTACAAATGAACAAAACAGTGCCAAAATAGTTGTAGTTGTCTTGTTTGCTGTGATAATGGTAAGCTTAAGTGCAGTTGTGCCCAATTTTAACTGTATTTTGATCTTTATATTCACAACACATTTTTGAAAGCAAGATTCCGTGTTGCATGCTGTATTTGGACACTTATTAACATATATGGACAAACTCAAACTGTTATTTGCTCCACATACTGGTGACACAGTGCTTCATACAATAATTTTTCATAAAAGAAAATTATTCAAATAGAAGAAAACGAATGAAATGACTCACATAGTTTGTCGCTTTTTTCTTTTTTCATCAGCACCACCACTGACAGAGCTTGATCGAACACTTAATGTGTCTGCAGGATAACCGAGACTTTGGCTGATCTACGATTTTAGGATGTCCATTATATGATGTTATAGACGTACATGTATCGAACATAAATTCATATGACGACCTACCTGTTGTCCAATTTCAGCTAGATTAGTCGGTGTTTGGCTTGCACTCAAAGGTGGATTAATAGCAAATTGCATAGGGATGTTACGTGAAGCTTATATTGAAAAATACGATAGAAATATAATAATTAACAAAAGAAATTGTCTTACCGCTGTCACTACTTGCTTCAGTAATACCCCCATCTTTTGTTTGTAGGTAAACAGGTACGAGCGATGCTATGACCACTCCAGCAATAATGGTTAGAATCGCTAGAACGAAGCATATTGCCCAAACTGGAGCCCATGTTGTCACAGCTCTGAGTTAACGAGTAAGGACAAATTAATAATTCGCAAAATCGTGAATAAACTTATTTTCATACCGCGGTACAGGAGTTGTATCATTTGTTGACAAATGATTATTTTCACTGCTCATATCAACTGAAATAAAAAAAAGGTATTGTTTGTCTTTTCCTGGCTTCGTAGCGATACTCTTTTCCAAAATGTAGGAAGTATACGACGACAACGAAACCTAAGAACTCTATTTCTTTCCTACATATTTTGTCTTCACGAAGAAAATTGCTTCTATATTCCTACGCCTAAGCACACGACGAACGACGAGAGTACAGTAATGCATTGAAAACGTCACTGGATAGGTGCGAATGGGAGCAGCGACTTGATAAAAGAAGAGTCTTCATTAACTTTTGAAATAAAAAAAGGCATTGTGCTTGTGAGAAAATCTACCAATCACCACGATATTTTTACAGTCCTTATACATCTCATTATTTTGCTGTAGGGATTTCTAATACTGCATATCTTAAGTCGAACTAGTCGTAGATGAGGATGTAAAAGAGAAAAACAAACATTCGCATTCAAAACACAGTATACACTAGAATAGTGCGTTCAACTCTTTAGCACTTTTCAATGTAAATATGTTATACTAACCGTTGCTCGTATTCTGGATACTATCGTCGTTAGAAATGTAATGATTTCTAGTGATGCTTGAGCATTATATATAGGCAGAGATGGCCTCTTTTTCATTTTTTGTCCCTATATTTCGAATCTTCGTTTGCTATTTTTGTCAATGTTTTTTAGTGTACTGGATATATTCATATTTTCTTTCTCTTTCACGTTTTTCTACCAATGGTAAATCATGATGTTGACATCACTTTATCCGAGCGATGGGAGAAAAACTTTGAGATGGGAAATTATCGAGCGTGAAGTTTTTAATGCGAAAAAAATCATGAAAAACGTATTTTCCGCATATCGCATGGGGAAAAGTATCCGCAGTTAATTTAACGTCTACATAGAATAACAAGATTCTTATATGGTTTCATCTCTGAATCGTTTTTCTCCAAAGATGTTTTGTGCATCCTTCGAGCGATTATTCTCGAGATATGTGCAAGTGTTAGTACCACCTTGGTGTATTTTGTGAGACTAGAATCGATCAACAACTGTTATGTATTGACATAAAAATAGCGTATGATTCAACTCTCACATGTATCTGATCTGACCGATAAATTATTTTACACGTTTGGAATAATGATCACAGAGAAGCAGTTTGAGTCTATTGTATAACGATGGTCTTCACTAAGACTAGTTATGATAAAAAAACTCAGGGCCGGAGAAATTAGCATTGTGTTACAGCAGGTTAGCAACATCATTCATCACCGTAAAATAGGTAAAACTACTGGTTGGCTACATTAAAGTCCAGGTCTGAATCTAGTTGAATTCATCCTTTATATCGATCAATCAATTGTTATGAGTGGGAAACTTCGAGATATCGATGAATCAGAAATATTCTAACTCGAAAACTGGAACGGAACGTGCGCCTAATTTGTAGGCTTTTTCACTTCTTTGAAAAAGATGGGATGATTAACTTGTTTAAACTCATAGGAAATGTAAAGGTTTGAATGATTCATGGATTCATATAGCACACTATCACGTGAGTACTGTATATGATCTAGGGGCATTGTATTATTGGTCTCATATTACTAAAAATTCATAATCAATCAAAGAAGTAAATTTATTGAAAAAGTCAATGTCTTTGCTGTTACAGGTTAAATATACGAAAATATTGTCGCTTATCACAATAGGAATCTAATCAAAAGGAAAGTTAAAAATTCATTTAATTGATCGTTGAAAACTGTAGTTGTCTTATTCTCCCGGATTCATACCTAGGAAGAACATTTTGCTCGGTTTTAATTGTTGTGAGAACAGGCACAGTGATTTTGACACTAAATGAAAGTGTGTATGCATACTGAATATGTTATCATTTTTAAACGCATCGATTTATGTCAAAACCGAACCGATTTCATCGATATGCGGACACAAGTGAAGGAAAAATAGATGATCATTGGACTTGAAGAAATCCAGATTATTTCATTTTAATTTCTAGAAAACCTCCGTTAATGAGATGTTTATAATGATTGACCGTATCCCTTGATTTGTTATTGTGGGGAAAAGGGTAAAACGAATATTCCCACGACCATAATAATTTATTTCAACCGAATAATGCATTGTATACGTTGTTTTGATTGACACATTGGTTTCATTGATTTCAATTCAACGATATAATTGCATATTATGACATTTCACTAATACAAATACACACATATCGAAAGGTGTACATCGGAATTTATTACACGATTGCTAAATCTGTTAGAATAATGAAACGAAGAAAAAGTTTTTCGTTGATTTTCTTGTTTCTATAACTTTGCAAATAGCTATACTAATGATTTTTACTCTGCTTTTGATGACAAACTAATGGATTGCAAACGTATTTTTTTACTGATTTTGCCTGTTAGTGCAGACCTTCTCAAATAATAATGTTACTATTGGTTTTTTTCTAAAATATCTGTTATAAGTTCTAGAGAACTTGTCAGTCATTCAACTCATTCACCACACATCCGCCATATTTTTCGAACGGTTTCACTGCACGACTGACGATCCATGCCGTCTAGATAAAAAAAGTATGGAAGTCTCGAATAATTACAAAGAATCGAAAGCACTGTATAGTACGATGGCTCAAAGGTAAAAATATCTTGAGCGCTTCTTAACATATCACTACGATAAAAAAATCCAACACAGGATCCGAGTACGGCCTAGGTTGAAAGTGCGCCATTGTATGCATATGGCAAATGATGAGTAGATACAGTATTAACATCTGGAACATGAATTTATTTCAACAAAATATATGTGCATTTGCGTTTGCATTTGACATCTTTTCCTCTTCGATATCATACTACACAATAGAAAAGAACACTTACAACAAATAACGACTGCATGGCGAAGATTAATGTCAGTTTTAACACAACATGACTTCCCTTCTGTATATTTTTTCCTCTGAACCATGGAGTATATATCATCATATGGTAGTCATATACAGGATAATATTTTACATAGAGAAATCGATTCAACAAAATTATTTTGAAACGAGCCGTTCACAATTAAGATTACCGTAGTAAGAAGTTGCGAGCGGCTCTTTGGCTCGACCTGCTCCTCCCAACACTATGCAGCAATGATAGCAAGTTATGGCTATTGTTGTCGCTAATGATTATGAGAGTGGGATGCAACTATCTTCTCTCATTTGCATTCATTGCATAATTGAATTTCACTCATATGTGATCATTGTTATTACCGACGCGCCAATGAATGGATCAGCTTTCGACCGAATTATAATCAAAATCTATGTGATTGCTGTGTTAATCACAAGTCACGAACCTTATTTGTTGCGATTAGTATATCTTCTCAAATTATAGCAGAGAAGAAAAATGTACTAATACTTTATCTACCACAACCATCTGAAGAACAATCATTGCTTTTTTTTCACCACTTTCATTCGATTCTGTTATTTGTCAGACCAAAGTACTTTTGCGAACTTTTGCTCTCAGTGAATTTTTTCTCTTCCTGTCGATCACTCTCGATAAAAACGTACTCTCGTCGCACTTACTGCATAGCGTCGGCGGGGATTGTTTTTATTACTATTATAACTTCCGATGATTAACTTTCTAAGAACGTACTTTATGCGCACCTTGACGTTGCCACCGTTTTTACTTGTAACAATCAGTTCCTATATAAACTCTTCGATTCCAAAACTTTGTTATGCATTGTCCAACAATCTCATTTACAACACATTCTTCTTCCTTCAAACCAATCAGCCAAAACACTAAACATGTCTAAAGGCGTCGAAGCACTCAAAGGAACATGGGATCAAGTCAGTTGCTTGTCACTCATCTCGTTCATCTTTCATTGTTTTTCCTCATAAATTAGATCAACGATGAAAACATGGATGAATTTCT